TATTAACCATCAGTTGGTATTAACATTTGTTGATTGCTAGTGCATTTGTTGAAGTCTCTCCTCTTTAATTTCTATTGATTTCATGGTTAATTTCATGGCTGCTTTACATATGGCTTTTTTGGATTTTAGGAAACTGCTTTCATGGTTAATTTCATGTTCATTTCGTGGCTGCTTTACATATTACTTTTCTTGATATATGATATTGATTGCATGGCTTTTCATATGATATTGATTTCATGGCTTTTCATATGAATTTTTATATTACTTTTATGGCTGCTTTTCATATGACTTGTAGCCTTAATTTTTGAAAAGGCTAGTTAACAAATTATTCTCTTTAGTTTGATATTAGAAAAGTATTTTGTACTAAAGGCTAATGTGTCTATATCTAGGACATGGATAAAACTTGGATGAAGATTAGCAATAGGAAGGACAAGGCTTATGAACTCGGAGTCAAAAATTTCCTCAAGTTTGCATATTCTCAAAAAGTTGAAAATCAGAAAATCCCATGCCCATGTACACAATGCAATAATTTTTGTAACCAAACTAAAACAGTTGTGGAGGATCATTTATTGACTCAAGGCATTCGTAAAAGCTACACAAGATGGATACACCATGGGGAACAATTTCGACACCAAAATTGTGGGGATAGTACTAAACATGGGGATGGAGAGGAGGATAGTGATACTGAAGATTTAAATGACATGTTGCATGACATTGGGACAGCACAATGGGGGGACAATTGGGCTGGTAGGGAAGAATCAACGGATGATAGTCTAAATGCGAATCATAGTGACACAGATAACTTTCTTAAATTGTTAGAAGATACAAAAAATGAGCTGTATCCAGGGAATCATTTTTACTCAAAGCTATCCTTTGTAGTCACTTTGCTCCATTTGAAAACAATGAGCGGGTGGACTATAAAGTCCTTCAATGCATTGCTGGAAATTTTTAAACATGCACTACCTCCTGAAGCCACAGTTCCCAAGTCTTTTGCTGATGCTAAGAAGCTCATTCGAGACTTAGGTTTTAAATCTGAAAAAATCCATGCTTGTGTCAATGATTGTGTTCTCTTCCGCAAGGAAAATGAAAATTTTGACACTTGTCCAAATCTAAATTGTAAAGAACCTCGCTACAAGATGGCAGGTTCAAGAGTTCCACGCAAAGTTTTGCGTTACTTTCCTTTGAAGCCTAGGTTGCAACGATTATATACCCACAAAGAAATAGCTTCAGATATGAGATGGCATAAAGAAAAGTGTGTGCATGATGATAACATCATGCGGTATCCAGCAGACAGTGAAGTATGGAAACATTTTGATAGGTTGCATCCGGACTTCGCCGTTGATCCTAGAAATGTGAGGTTAGGTCTTGCAACTGATGGTTTCAATCCTTTTGGGACCATGAGTAGTGCTTATAGCATCTGGCCTATTTATCTAATGCCATACAATCTGCCCCCTTGGAAGTGTATGAGAGATCCTTTCTTTTTCCTATCAATGCTAATTCCTGGGCCTAAATCCCCAGGAAATGAGATTGATGTTTACATGGAGCCTCTAATAGATGAACTGAATGAAATGTGGCTTGGTGTTGAAACATATGATGCATATAGTGGTAAGAAATTTGACCTCCGGGCAGCTTTACTATGGACTATAAATGATTTTCCAGCTTATGCAATGCTGTCCGGATGGAGTACGAAAGGGTATCAAGCATGTCCTATTTGCATGGTTGAGACAACTTGCGTACATTTATCACACCAAAAAAAGTTGTGTTACACAGGTCATCGCCGCTTCTTACCCATTGACCATTCTTGGCGGCGAGAAAAAAAACCTTTCGATGGCAATGTGGACTTTAGGAATCCTGTTGCACCTTTATCTGGAAATAAAATTTTGGATCAGGTACAAAATATGAAGGTAAATTTTGGGAAGACCAAGGCGCAATCCAATGCAAAGAAACGCAAGCGTTCTGAGAGTGGTTTGAACTGGACAAAGAAAAGTTGTTTCTTTGAGTTACCATATTGGGCAGACCTCCTTCTTAGGCATAATTTGGATTTAATGCATGTGTCAAAAAATGTCTCAGAGGCTGTCATTGCCACAATTATGGATATTGAAAACAAAACCAAAGACCACTGGTTGTGTCGTCAAGATTTGAAGGATTTGGGTTTGAAAAAAGAGCTACACTTGATTCCAAATGGCGACTCTTATATCATGCCACATGCCTGTTATAGCCTAACCAAGGAGGAGAAAAAAAAAGTATGTGAGTTCTTGAATTCTGTCAAATATCCAGATGGGTTTGCCTCAAACATTTGCCGATGTATAAAGAATGGCCAGTTTCAAATTTCTGGAATGAAAAGTCATGACTTCCACATTTTTATACAAAGGCTACTCCCACTTGCAATTCGTGGAAGTTTAACAAAAGAAGTTCGGCAAGTGCTATTCGAGTTAAGTGAATTCTTCAAAAAATTATGTGCTAGAACATTACATAGAGAGGTTCTGGAGGAGTTAGGCCAAAAAATTGCAGTCATCTTATGTAAATTAGAGAGGTTGTTCCCTCCAGCTTTCTTCGATATAATGATGCACTTGATGGTTCACTTGCCTGCTGAAGCTATCCTTGGCGGTCCAGCTCAATATCGTTGGATGTTCCCATTTGAGAGGTAGAGAGTTGTACATATAGCCTTATAAGTTTTTTTTTTATTAAAGACCACTGCAATCTTCTAATTTCTTTTATTTTCCTTTGAGAAAGACATATGACAGTGCTGAAAAGTTATGTTGGGAATAAGGCCCGGCCAGCGGGATGCATTGCTGAGCGGTACATAGATAAAGAATGCTTGACATTCTGCTCTATGTACCTAGACAATATTGATACGATATTCAACAAGCCTGAACGAAACAATGATAGGGGATATAATACTGGTGAATTGTCCATTTTTTCATGCCTTGGTCGTCCATTTGGAGGGCCCAAAAGGGGCAATTTCCTTGACTTAGAGCTGGAAAAAATTCATACATTTATATTGAACAATTTTGATGAGCTTAAGGACTATATAAAGTAAGCTTTTAATGTTAATTAAAGCTTGTACCTTTGTTCTATATTTTGATATGTTCAAAGGCAAATTTATACAAGGTGATTGTTTTTGTCTATAGTGCGCATAAAATGGAGTTGGAGGCAAAGAGTGCTGAAAATGTGGACCAAAGGCACGATAGAGAATTTGCAAAATGGGTTAAACAGCGTGCATGTTTGTAGTGTCATTTGGACAGCCTACTTTTTTTTATCTCTAATACAATAAATTACTGATTTAGGTGAAATTGTCCTTACTAGGTTATGTATGGCAGCGAGGCTTCCAATGGTGAGCTTCGAGCATTAGCATTTGGGCTAGACAACCGAGTTTGCATGTATACGGGCTGCATGGTTAATGGGTATAGGTTTCACACGGAAAATCGGGAAAGGCAAAGAAAGACTCAAAACAGTGGTATTGTAGTTAGAGGTGAGCATGGTAACAATATGATCGATTTTTATGGTGTGATACAACAAATTATTGAAGTAAGATACTGGCTCGGGAAAAAAAAGGTTATAGTATTCAAGTGTGACTGGTGGAAGACCGATGATAGTGCTGGGATGCAAGTGGACAAAGAATGGGGTATCACAAGTGTCAATTCGTCCAGAAAATGGTATGAAGACCAACCATATGTCCTCCCTTAACATGTCCAACAAGTCTTTTATCTTGAAGACTTGAAACTAGGCAAAAACTGGTTTGTCGTCGAGAGGTTCAGTCCAAGGCACTTGTATGATGTTCCTGAAGATTTAGAAAAAGAACCAATGGTTGAGGAAATATATCAAGAAGAAGCAACTGGGGATTTCACTATTATAATAGACCTCGACAATCCACCATTACTTTCAAGAGAAGACAATGAGATACCGAAGGCTGTACCTTCATCCATTGTACATGCTGAGAAGTCAAAAAATAGTTCAAATGGCACCTTTGAAGATTTCATTAATGATGATAATGAAGTGAATGAACATGAGTCTAACAATGAGGAAGACGAATAGGAGATTCTTAGTGATAATGACATCGATTCGGAATAGGTGAAATTGATCTTTAACTCCGGCTAACTAGTTTTTATTCCTAAATTATACTATGCTGTAACACTAACTTCTTGTTACTTTTAGATGGCTAGACCAGGAAAGCGAGGCCAAATGCTGCAGAGAAAAGCTCAAGGTGCACAACAGCCTGCAATACCTAATTCAGTTGGAAGCAATCAACCAAGAAGTGCATCCAAGAGTGTATCCTCAGAGGATGCAATATATGTCACTCCAACTTCTTCACCTAGAGAAATTGCTAGTGAGAGTAGGATGATACACCCTCAGACATCTGAGTCTCGTGCATCCGGAGAAAATGAGACAAATCCAGTTTCGGATGAGCAAGAAAATGGTAAGTTAGACTTCATTTTCATGGCTGAAATTAAAAACCAAGTTTCTATTTCATGACTGACTTTGTTAATGTGGTCAAAGTAATGTTTGGACTGATATTTGTTAATAGCTATGCTGCTGTCAACAAGAAGAAGAGGACGTACACGAAATCTATCATTATCAAAAAAAAAGGGAGGCTAATGAGACGCTCACCATTGAAATTGATGATTGTATTCGGCGGATTGTTGGGAAGGATTCTCAATACTTCATCACAGAAGGGGGTTGTGTTGTTAGGAAGGCTGCTAGGCTTAATGTTCCAAAGTGGTCCCATCTCAATCCCGGTGACCGAGAAGGCATATACAACACGGTTACGGTATTTGTTGACCTGCTAATACTCTAATTTCATCCAGAAAGTATGAGAGATTTTACTGCTTTAGATTTGCTTGGTTTTAAGTAGATTGCACTGTTATTGTAGGATGACTTTCGATTTCCAGAGCACATCACCTCAAAAACTGCTATTAATAGGCAGTTAAACACACAATATCGAAACCATCGATATCGGTTTCACAAGTATTTCCAGAGTTTTGAATCAAGGCAAAAAGCATTGAGGCAAGTTCCTGAAGGTGTGAGTGAAGAAGATTGGAAGTGGCTGGTCAGCTACTTTGAAAATGATGAATTTAAGGTTAGCTTGTCAAAATAACCTATCCTTTTATTAAATTTCAGATTTCACTTCACAAATTTGCTAATCTTTGTCAGTTAAAATTTTCACTAATTTGTGGCAGAAAATTAGTGAACGTAACAAGCAAAATCGTGCCAAAAATGACTGCCACACTACTGTTGGCACAAAATCGCTTGCAAGAGTTGTTGAGGAAAAGGTAATCTGAAACCCAGCCAACAGTTGTACATGTACATCCTTTTTGTCATATGACTGAAAATGAAAAAATTGAAAATTTGGACAGAAAAGGAAAGAAGATGTCAAGCTTTCAGAGATAGACATGTTTGAGTTAAGTCGAAAGTCAAAGAAGTCAGGGGGGCTGGTAAATGACAAAGCAAAAGAGACCTTGGTGAGCTGTTTCACTTGGATAATGGATTTTTAAATTATTGACATCCATTCCAGCTACATAATGATCATATTTTTTACTTGCCTAGGACAAAATGAGGGAATTGCAGGCTACAACTTCAATGACTAGCAAGGAAATATGCGAGCATGAACTTGGTTACATACCTGGACACATCCGCAGTCGTAGTGCAACCAAGAAGCAAGCTGCTGAGGTAGAACGCTGGAGGCATGAGATTGAGGACAGCCGAAAAAGAGCAGATGAAGCAGAAAAACGAGCTGCAGAAGTAACTCAACAATTCAATGCTCAGCAAGAGTTGATTAAGACCTTGCAACAGCAACAAACAGAAACAAGAAGCCTGTATGATGAGTTAGCTAACCAGCTGAAAGACTTGCGAAAATAAGCAACTTCTGTGTCAGGTATAAATAAATTATTTGCTCTTCATATCCTTCACAATTGAGGCACTTGAATTCTGGTTCTACAAAATAGAGATTCATTTTTAATACAATTGGGTTGCTTGATGTCAATTTAGTTGCTTGATGGCACTTGAAATCTGGTTCCACCAAATCTGATTCCTGTTTAATGCAATTGAGTTGCTTGAGGCTGATTTAGGTGCTTGAAATCTTGTTCATGTTTAATTACAGCCATTGAGGTGCTGGATGTTGCAACCAAAACTTTAGTGTTTTTAAAGCAAAGGTGTTTGAACGTTGGGATGTATTCCACTTTTTTCTTTGTCGAACTCATCTAAATTTTTCTGTATCACAATTTTTTTTTTGTGCTAAGGAAAAAGAGGCACCTGTGATTGTGTGTGTGTGTGTGTTTTTTTTTTCTTGATATACTGTGTGGTTCACGATCATCTAGGCTCTCAATGATTTTAGGATTTTATTGTTGTTATTGTTATTGTTATTGCATATATATTTGTGAACATGCAGATATTTATTGTGTTTGTATTGTTATTCTATATTTCACAGAATATACATTCAATGTCTTATTTGCTATAATTTCACTTTATTTTTGTGTTAAGCAATTTACTTAGATTGCTATAATTTCAAATTAGAGTGACATTAGTTTTTATAATATGGTGCCTATCTAGAAGTGTAGTTCCAGTTTTAACACCAGTGCTCATTGCTTCAATTTTGGTAACGTGTAGGTTCTAACACGATTCTCAAGAAGAAGAAGCCAGTCATTGCTGTGAAGATGGTTTTTGATTTGAAGACTACAAGGCCTATCGTGCTCATGTTTTGTTGTAGATGGGAATCGTGCTCATATTTTTGTATAGAACTTTACTACTCTCTATTATGGATGGGAAATCACTAGTATTGTAACGAATGGCTTATTTTGGATGGTGCATGGTTTATGACTCATTTGAGGCAACATTTATATATATATGTATTTGGGTTGATCTTCTATTGGAAATGAATGTTGGCTTTCTTTTCGTATGTTGGCTTCTTTTTTTTCCTTGCTACTCAATGAACGTTTTGTGATTGTTGGCAGCTATGTTGCGTAATTAACATTAGATTATTGCTTTTTACAAAAAAAATAAATGACAATAAAAAGTTGTCACTGCCAACAAGTTTCACTAGTGACACCAGAAAGTCGTCACTTTTTATGGATGGAAAACAATGACAACAAAAGTCGTCACTGAACGGAAGCATAATGTGACAACTCCAAGGGTTGACTATGACAAGAATTTAGCCAGTTTAGTGACAATAAAAGTCGTCACACAATGTACAACAATGAGTGACGACAAGAGTCATCACAAAAGCAAAATCGTTTGTGACGACTTTCAACAGTCGTCACATGGACCCCCTTTTGTGACATAGAACTAGTGACAGCTCTGTGACAGCAGTAAAAGTCGTCACTGACATTTTTTGTGACGACTTCTGAATTTTTAGTGACAACTTTCGCCTGTCACAGAAACGCAATTTTCTTGTAGTGATATATAGTAGAAATACCAGCATCAATCTTTGTGTTTACCTTAACAATTTCTACAATTGTGCTCCAGTACATATTTTTTTTCTTAAAGTATTATGTTATCTAAAACGAGCAGTATATCTAAATATTTCCTGCAAATTCATAAGATTGATTTTTTCCAGTAGTGCTGCTGTTACTTGTTAAATCGTTAGTTTAACATAGCCTTGTAGCCTTTTTTCTTTGTCCTTGGATTTTTCCTTCCAAACGTGTCTTTCCCTTTCATCAACACGCTGGATTATGAAAGGCCACATCCAGGTGGATGGATCTGTGTTTTTTTCTTTCCTTGTTAGACCTGAGTGGTAAGCATTTAGTTTTTAATGCATTGGTTAACCAGTTTCTATCATTAGAGCCCAAATCTAAAAAAAAAAAAAAAAAGTCTGGTTCCCTGAATTCTACGGCTTTATTAGTCAAAAATTCCATCGACAACTTCAATTCGTGGACCCAAAAATCGATAGTACAAAAAGAATGACTTGACTAATTAAATCTTGAAATTTGATATTTACAATGTGATTTCAATGAAATTTTGCTCAAGATACACTTTGGTCAACACCTATACGACAATTGCTCCCAACTTTCCCTCCTTTGCCTTTGGTTACCGCATATCATTTACTCTTTTTTTTTTCATGGTTGTATATATGATTACAATCGAAATCCACTGGGATGGATACAAGCGAAGTGCATTTGAACATCTTTACAAATAATTCAACAATAACACAAAAAAGGATGAGAACAACAACGTACACATAGTAAGAAAAGTATTAACGTACTTGTCAGACTCTTGAACTTGGCAGCGGATAACATATTCTTCATTTGTAAGAGTTAGCTGATTCATGAACCACCTACCTTTAGAGCTCTCCTTGATGCAGGTCAAAGGATCAAATCTCTTAACTTACATTCTTCTTCAAGATTTTCTGAAAATTTCACCAACGGATGTAGAGATATTCGTTTGATTCGGTGGTAGTTTAGTCCCCTCCGAATTCTTTATTGGACCATTTGATCCCACCATTTCCCCCTATAAAAGAGTAGGAATAAGTATAATATACAATCTGTCGTGCCAAAAAAAAAAAGATAGCTAATTCATGAACTCCAAATTATTGAATAGTAGACTATTGAAGGTATGCACTATTGCTCCTATTCTGAAAAGTTAAGCTTGTTTTCCCAATAATTGCATCATTGTTCCTACTCTGATCTTGATTAAAGTTGAACAGTAGACCACAAAACGTACGGGCCATGACACCTTTGAAAAGTTAAGCTTAATGGCTAGAGGCTCTTGAGTCAATTTTCTCCAACTTTATTGGCAATTCATCTTAATCAGTGAGATCGATATTTTTTCTTAGTGTTGAAAAAAATATGTTTTGAAATTCCATATCTAGACATGCAATTTCACCAAGCCTCCACTAACCAAGAACTAGATCGCCACTAATGTTGTGGCTTTGGATACACCCCATAACTTACGCGTACATTTGTAAACTTACTTTACCTTAGTCTTTTCTCTTTTTCTTTTTGCTTTTTGGTTTTTTTGGGGTTAAAAGTCCCCATTCATAAATCATTCTTACACTTAGTGGTGGAGTTAGAACCTGTGGTTAGGAGGGCAATTGTCAATGTATAGATTTGTAGAAGAGTTAAATTTTCAGTATGGATGATTGGATACTCTTATATTTCAATTGTTGTTTTAGATTTACAATTAACATCATAGTTGTTTTTAAACTAAAAAAGGATGAATTTTTTTTCTATAAAGCGAATCTATGCAGTATTTTTAGCCCAATATCTTCACTTCTTGTAGCAATTCACCAAGAGCTATTTATCCAATTAATGCTTCACTAAGAAAACTTTTCTAGCATCATATGATTGTTGAAGTACCCTGGATGGTGCCACAATCTAAGCTAGGAGTTGCTTGTGATATGCTGATGAGAAAAGTTTATTCTCATGCTAAACTAAGGATGGAAATTGTGATATATCGTGGACAGTAGCTTCCAATATTCTGTAAAACTATTTCTAATATTTTCTAAATATGAGCAATAAGCCAGTACGTCCAAAAAGTTTTCACTTGACCTCCTTTTATGATAATTTGTGCTGTAAGAATTTCTGTTGGATTTTTCTGCTCAATGTAGCAAATGTTATTTTAATTTTCTTAAGCTTAAATGCATTTACCGATCAAAACTACCATCAATGGAGCCCAACAAGAAAAGTCTGCTTGTTGGTAGTCTAAAAGTTGATTTAAAATGGATTTCCAAGTCAACACTCAAAAAAAAATTTTCCAAGTCAACTGATCATCAATCATGGACCCAGACATCAATAATCATAGAAGGATCACTTTATGAAGGAACCTCTCTCCTTCACTTTAAATCTTCCTGTGATAATTATGAATAATAAATGTTATCAACAGCCCAGAGAGGAAAGTTCAACCAAGGAGAGGACAAGGAAATTGGAGATTGTATCACTGTAATTTAGGTTTGATGGAAAGAGAAGTTTTCTCTGTATAGATAAATGGTTTGGAGTCAAGTCTACGCCTGACTGTGTTTTGCATAAGTTGTGTTTTGAATCTGTCAGGAAATTGCTTTGAGAATGGCTTGTAATGGTGGGGTAAGGAGAAAAAAAAGGGTGAGCTAGTCTTGTGTGAATTGCAACAGTCGACCATTGACTGACCTAAGTTCATATTCTACTTTGATGAGTTTTTTTTTCTGCACTTTCTTCATTTCCTCAAGAATAAAATAATACATCACAAAGTAACTAGTGCAACAGTAGTTTCTGGTTATTATCGAGTTAGCATTTGGAAGTAAACACTCATAACAGTTTCTGTTGATTAGACATTTTTTCTTTTAAATTTATAACTACGACTGGTTAGGGGAGGATTTGACTTGGTAATTGGAATTGATTTAGAAAGGTTGATGACAGCCAATTTTTATTAACCGGCTTCTTCAAAGCTAAAGTCCAAGGGCTAATTAAGGAGATTTGGCCCCAGAGCTGGGACTTGTCTTTTTAGGGATCATGGGACTATAGTAACAGATTTCTCAAACCATTTACAGACGGTGGACACAATACAGAATTACATTGTATTTATGGTTCATGGAAAAGTTTGGAGTTTGTATTCATAAAATTTTTAATATAGATATACTTGCCCTGAACTTAGCGCATTGACCATGCGTAAGACAGGCAATTCAACATTGGCGGGAATCAATTAGTTTCAGAAGTCTGTTGTTTATGTTTTTCCCTTTTGCATTTTCTTCAACTTATTTTATCATTAACATCACAGTCATGGTCATGTCATAAAATTTCAAGAAATTGCACCGTTGGTTTCAAGATAAGCACAACTTTGATGAACCGTGTTAATGTGAGTTCTTATTATGGTGCCAAATTGCTTTGGTTAATCCTTAGCCCTTTTTTTTCCACGAAAAAGGTTTTGCATGTATCAATCTGGGCCATGTTGAGCAGCTAATTAAAGTACGTGGCTCCTCCTGTAACAGCAGAGATTCAATAAATGTAATTGACTATAACATGCCAATTGGTGAAGTCCACCCCACGAGTCTTTGTCTCTTCAGGACCACATGCTGCTGATCATGAACTAAACCGTCCAAGTACAAGGTCACAAGACTTCGCTCAAAAACAGACCTGCGGATTTTAGTATCTGCACACATAATCAATTACTCAGCGGTCATTAATATGTTACAAGTGCAGATTTTGGTAGTGTTAGTCTCCCTTGCCTGCATTTCCTGTCTCAGGATTTCCTGAAACATTTTAAAAGATAGTTTAGTTGCCTCCGAATTCTCAATAGTTTAATTTGGGACCAATTGTAAAATGTCGTACTCAAAAAGTCTCCCTTGCCTTAATTTACTTTTTGTTGTCCGGGTTCAGCTCGGTTAATTTTGTCGGCAACATTTGCTACATACAATAGTTTTGTTGATGTACCACACATCTGGTACAGCAATATTTTGAAGTAGCAGTAATTGACTTAGTTGATCGCACTGCAATATTGTGAGCATCAATGGTAGGGTTGAGCACATTATCTTAAATAGTAAGCTAGCTCCTTCTAGCTTCTTTCTTGATTGTCACACCGGAAGAGTACATATAGGCTTCCACGACAGGTGACCTTAGTAAGGGCACATCCAAAAACGCTATAAATGGAGCCTTTAGATAGCTGGAGAGCATGAGCAACATCGACGTATCTACTAAGATAAACAAGAGAAGATTCAGTGATGCCTGGGAGAATAGAATAGAATTGTAGGAACTAAGAATAAAAACAAGATAAGATATCGAGTTCTTTTCTGCTAGTACTATGTTTTTGTGGAGCAGAATTGCTAGGTAGGCCCTAGCTGCATGTTTCCGTCCCATCACAGAAAATTGGGCAATCACAAGTTTGAAATGGCTTTTAGTGTGGACTGACCATTAAGGAGTGATGTTCATGATGCGGTGTATAAGCTTTCAGAACAGCTATATTAATTTAATAGTTTTAATTATTAGAGCCCTG